TCCATTACAGTATATGCCACCATACTGCACCTCCCCCCCCACACACAAAACTCTGTACCCCCCCCCACACACACACAACTCTGCACCCCCCACACACACACACAACTCTCTGCACCCCCCACACACACAACTCCCCCCCCCACACACACACACTCACAACTCTCTCTCTCACAACTCACCTCTGCTACACTATTGAGCGGCATCTGGACGGTTCGCAGCCGCTTTGACAGTGTGTCCATGCCTCCACTGCTTCCTCTGCCTCCTCATATGCTCCCGGAAATGATCGGCTGAAGGTGGGCTGGCATGGTCACCCTCGGCTGGCCACGTCCCCTCACTAATACTGGCCAATCATATAAAGAGGAAAGCACCACTTGACTTCCTAGAGGTGGAGTAGGGGAGTGGTCTGGGTGTGTCTATGTGGAACATATCAGCTGTCCGTGACAGATCCAAAAATTCGGGATTCTGCCCGGGGCAAGCTTCCAGCGGGACATTGGTTTAATATTCGGGACTGTCCCGGGCAATTCATGACTGTTGGCAAGTATGGGTGAGGGACTAACCTCCTTTTACATCAGTTTGTGCTATATAACCTTCCTTCTCATGTTCATAGTTACAAGAAGAGAGATAAGTGAAGTAATAGAAATTTCCGTTGTTTGCAATTCATCCCATTCCCCCATCCATCCCTCTAGCCCAGGTTATAATTGTGACGATGGTGCGCAATAGAGACATGGATGCTGTACACGACAGCCATCTTGTTAGGTCTCAGCCATTTTGTCTCTCCTTTCCTCCCTCCTCTTAAAATGGAATTTGTAGCTGTAAGTTGAACGGACTTCAAAAGAGCCTCTTATCTTAAAGAAAACACAGATACATGAAGCTCCAGGGCTGTAAACCACTAATTATTCTGGTGCAGGAGGTCTGCTTTGAAAACCACTTTCTTCTGCCCAATCATAAAACAATAACTCAGTCAGCCATGACTTGTTAGGCCATTAGGGCTCTAGGATGCAGAGTGTGCCATAAAACATCCATTCCACATGTAACCATTTCACATAAAATTCATAAAGTTCAGCAGGAACTGGGCACATTAATACTAGGTATATATTTGGATAGATAATTTTTATGTGATCTCAACAAGATCATACATGACTATATTAGCACATAGGAGAGAGAAGAAAGCAGTCTCTTCCCTCCTGGGTGACAGGGGTACGCTGTGTTTGGTATCCCTGGGTTTGAAATATAATTCTGAATATTAATCTGCCAGTTGCTAGAATACCACCTTTACATACTGGAGGTTATTAATAGTATGAAACTGCAGTTGGGACTTGGTCATTAACTTGGGGGCTGCCTAGCACCCATCTCCAAACTGGAAGATTGGTCAGTTGTTCTCAGGCAACACCCCTTTAATATCATAGAAAAAGACTGACAGGCCTGGAGAAGAGAACTCTCTTTTAACATCAATCAAGAAACATCTAACGGACTTGAGAGCAAGGCAACTTTTTTGCTCAGACAATTGGACGCTGCTTAAACCAAGGACATTGCAAGTATTCTTCCTTCTTAACTTCTTTCTTTTGTTTCTCTCTTGCATTATTTTTCTCTTTATATCTTTGTAACATCTTTTTCTGTAAGTATTTTAATTGCACCATTTTGACCTTTTTTTTAGTAATAAACCTTATTTTAAAAAGTGTTGAAACTGTCTCTAAAGCTTTTAATGTAAACTAAAGAATCCCTGTCTCTTGAAGAGTTCTACTGTATGTAATAATCCTCTGAATATCCCTGTCTGTGGTGACAGTGTGTGTTACAGACGCTTATGCTAAAATCATAGTGTGATTGCTAGGATTTGTGAGTGTTCTCCTTCTCTGTAAAAAGGCGGTGGTGGCAGTGTGAAGGGTTAATTGCGTAGTTAACCTAACCCAGTAACAATCACTCTCAGGCTGCTGGCACATAGATTGTGGTCCCGCAAGCTGGAAAATCTTTGTGCAGGGCGCAGCTGAGAGTGGTATTGTTACGCAAGTGACAGCGCGGTGTGAGATTGGCTGGTCCTTCGGTCACGAGTTGGTGAGAAGGGCAGGGGTCAGACGTTGTGTTCCATTACAATAATGTTCTGGCATTTTATATGTAGCCCCCTCCTAGCATAGGATGCTAGGCAAATTTAGTTTTTGTATTCTTCTGTAGTCAATGCAGCAGTGATTGTTTGCTCTGGTCTTTTCAGAATTTCAAAGGCTAAGAGTTTGAGTCTATCCTCCTGCCCCTAGAAAAAAGCTTCCAGAAAATAGGAAGAGAGATTCAGCCTGGGTTCACGCTTGTGCGGTATATAGCATGTGATTCGCACAGGAACCACACCACATTTCTGTGCAAATCACAAGCGAATTGCGTGAGGTGCGATTGGAGGCATACATTTTGTATCAGTTTTGCATCAAAAAGGTGCAGAACCCTTTTTTTGGTCTGCACTAGAATCAGATCGCATGGGTATTCACACCCATATAATCCGATTCGGCACATTGCACCGCGTTTTGCGGACCGATTTCAGGGTGTTGTTAACTTAACATACACACCCGCAGCAGTTCTTATGAAAGGGGTGCGACTGTGATGTGGTACGGAATTCACACAGAAAACTCTGCAAATTCCACACCACATCAGTGTGAACCCAGGCTTAAATGTCCAGCCTGAACATTCACCACTGCCTGGCCAATTCCTGGAGAGGAGTGTCCAGCAGGTGGCTGGGGCAGATGATAAATTGTATAAAGCCCTGGAGAGATTGTGCCATCTCCCCAGAAGGGTTCCAAAGCCTGAGGGGCTGCTGTTCTTAGGAAGTCCATGGACTGTGTTGCTGTTCTGGAGGCCTCAGCAGTGTCAGGGCTGAGGGCCTGGATGGATCCTCTTAAAAGCGGGGTGCAGGACCTTACCACATGTTAATCTGGTCTGGAGAAGGACAGTCTCTCTTACTGATCCAGAGGAAGCTTGAAGGTGGAAACTGTCCAGAGAACTTGTGAGTAAAGCCCCTGAATTGATCCCTGTGACTGTACAATGTTCTGGAAATCGCATCGGCTACCAATAGTTGTGCTGTGGTGCAAGGCAACCAGATGCCAAAAAGTCTTATCTCATGGTCTTCAGCTGTGAGGCCTTAGTCTGTCCAATGTTCACAATTACCTAACTAGAGGATTGTCCTCTAATAGTTATTTGCCGATTGTTTTAGAGTATCCCATGTCCTAACCCCTCTCCTGTTAAAATTATTCAAGCAATACATTTTCAAAACGGGGGGTAGCGTTTCATATATAATTTTTTAATGAAAGCAGACATGGAACAGCAAAAGCCTTCAGGTAAACTTTAGGAAAGAACCCAAAATCTGTGCTCAATGAACCGTGGTATAGTGTCTTTTTAAATCAATGCTGTGTCTGTTTCTTGTATTCCATCAGCATACATCATTAAACTTTCGAACTGTAAACTTACTTTATCATGCAGGACAGTGTTTTGTTTGTGTTGCTCAACAAGCCCTGCGGATGACCTGTTACCAGGTTGTAAGGTTGAATTAACTGATTCAATAAATCCCTACAGAATTAAATTATTTGATTCTCTGCGGCTTTTTGTAAATGCCATCTTCAAGCCTGCTTATAGCAGTTTATTGATTGCTAGCTGTTTTATTCCAGAAAATCACCATTTTAGTATGCAATCTGTTGTATTTAAAAAAAAGAGTTCCAGTCTTAACCAAACAAAATAAAAAAAACCTCTGCCTTTAAAGGCAGAGATATAACTCTGCTGTGTTGATAAGAGTTCACAAAGTATTACAGTGCTCATAACATATAGTGGTGTGCTATGTTATAATAATGGTGTAGGGTAAAAGCACGGTGTAGTTCCCTAAATTGGCCACTAGATATCACCATAGTTAGAGTTGGGAACCCTGTAGTGAAAGGTAGGCAGTGTAGGTGCCTAGGTAACCACTAGAGGTATCCAGAGTAGTGAGTAGGGTGTATCATAGAGAGTGGGACAGTGCCAGCCTGCCTCTACCAGTGTGGGGCAACTTATGTAAGAGGTCTCTGTATATATAATCTGGCAGGAGTCAGCCTGTTTTTTATTTGGTCATAGGGGACATTGCAAGGACCAAGGATATAATCTTTGAGGAAGTAGCTTCTAGGAGAGTTCCCTTGGGGAGCAAGTAGAGATGGACATTTGCAGGACTAATGGAAATACATTATTTGGATATGGGATGTAGGGTGCAAACCTCTAAAAGTGAAGGCTGATACATGACTTGGCTCTCTGCTCTGCTGTTGTCTGTTTACAACTGAAGGAATGTTCAGTCACCATTGGGACAGCCAAGAGCTTGTAAATATGTATATCAGCTTTGTTCCAGTAAAAGAGTTAAAATAGTATTGCGTGGATTCCTTCTTCTCTCAACTTCAAGATGGGATTGTTCTATGGAAACAAACAAGCTGCTATTGGGGTCCATTGCTGTAAGGCCTAAAGAAGGTGTAAAAGCTGCTGCTGGTGCTGGTTACGTCAGACCAGGGGTCCCTCGGTGGATGCCTCTGTCATGGCTCCCAGAGGAGGATCTTGTGCCCATAGCACCTCAGGGAGCCTAGGGGACCAGCCCATGCTGAGCAGGAGTGGATTAAAGAGTACATGTGCTCCCCCACTTTGGGTCAATGCACTTGAAGGACATGCAGCCCAGCACACATTTAGCAACAATTTACAAATGTGGGACTTTCTTCTTATATGAACCTGTTGCCATTTGCGGGACCTTATATGTAATGGTGGATCAGAGAATCATGCTGCTATGGACAGATGTCACCTCATAGTTTATACATTGTTACACTAATTGTGGACTGGATTGCTTTGCTGGGTCATCACTGAATCAGAGAACTTACAAACTCAGGGCTTTGAACTACAATTTGCATGATTCATTAAATTTCCCTGTAAACATTATTTGCTGAAGCTGTATTCCAGGCAAACAGATTTTACTCAAGAGCAGGGGCGGACTGACAACTCCTGGGGCCCCCGGCAATAGGGCATCATGGGGCCCCTGTGTCCACGCCCACACTCAAACCACACCCGAAAAATCCTATGAAAGGTACCAGGGGCATCTCATGGGGCCCCCCTGCAGTGCCTGAGTTCCTGAATGGTCAGTCCACCCCTGCTCAAGAGATAAAAAACTATAATTCTACCACTTTATAAAACTTTGTCTCGGCCGCATCTGAGGATTCTATCCAGTTCTGGTCACCAGTACTTTGGAAGGATGTGTTGGAACTGGGGAGGGTCCAGAGAAGGGCAATAAAACTAATAAAGGGGTTTGAGGATCTCAGTTATGAAGAACGACTACATACATGAAACATAATCTACCTGGAGAAGAAAACCTTAAGAGGAGGTATGAGCACAATATACAAATATGTAAATGATGATTCTAACATAGGGGGAAGACTTTTCAGTCTCAGGTCTCTAAAGAACCAACAAGACATACCTGTCCTCAAATCCCAATAGCTAGTACATGCATTTGTCTATCAGGTGCTAATGGGGTGTAACCACATACTAACACTAGAGATTCTGAAGGAACCCTCTGCACACTGATATATACCCTTTCCAGCAGACTTTGCAATACAAGTTATGGATATTTAGTTCACACATATTGCAATACATGTTTAAGCTGGCCAACTGCGTCAAAGTAATCCCTCTATGGCCAGTCCTACTCTGCTCTGCCTACACAAATGCTACTGTGAACACAATGCCAATATAGGGGAAAAGAGAAAGTGGGGGACAGCTACTAGGTTTATGTCTGGCTACTGACCTACAATACAACCAACAAGACATACCTGTGCTCAAATGCATGTACTAGCTGTTGGGATTTGAGCACAGGTATGTCTTGTTGGTTGTATTGTGGATCAGTAGCCAGACCTAAACCCACTTTCTATTTTCCCCTATATTGGCATTGTTTCCACAGTAGCATTTGCGTAGACAGAGCAGAGTAGGACTGGCCATAGAGCGATTACTTTGACGCAGTTGGCCAGCTTAAACATGTATTGCAATATGTTTGAACTAAATATCCCTATTTGTTATTGCAAAGGCTGCTGGAAAGGGTGTATATACCAGTGTGCAGAGGGTTCCTTCAGAATCTTCAGGTCTCTAAAGAAGACATGTGGCCACTTAATGACGCTGGACGAGAAGCGTTTTAACTTTAAACTGCATAAAGAGTCCTTTCCTGTTAGAGCGGTGAGAATGTGGAACTCCCTTCCACAGTTGGTGTCAGCAAAGAGTGTGCACACACACCGTTTGAACTGAATGGACTCTTTATTCAAGCTTACCAACTACAATATGTAACTATGAAATACATATATAAGAGCTGTTCTACCTGCCACTTCTAAGATTTATACAACCTTGTCTTGCAGGGCAGAAGACCTGATTTTACTCTGCAGCAGTTCATTACCACTTGCAGATCTCCTCTCCACCCCCAGTTGGTGATTGGACAGTGAAAGATGAAGCAGCACATACACTGACATACTGTTGTCTCCTGCTATTAAGATGTCCCTCGTTAGCATAAGACCACTACAGCTTGACTGACTGGCTCCTTGTACTGGCCAGGGGCTATTTGGAGGGACAGAGAGACTTTGCTTGATTTGACCTGAGTACAGGAGACCAACCTCCCTGATCGAAGCCAGGGTCAGGTGATGGCACTGGGGAGAGACACATAACCAGCTGCTGCCCTGCAAATAAGCTTTTGTGAAGATGCATGTTGCATGACTGTGCAAGACTATAGGGGGACCCAATTCTCTAGTGGTTCCTAGGGGGGTAGTGCTACACATGGATATTGGTTATGTCGTTGGGTGTACCCCCTGGTCAGGTGAATCAGAAGGGCCATTGGCAGTATCATGTAGAATAGGAATTCCAGTTTGGTGAGCTAAACCCCAAGGGTTAAATACTTCTAAATGAATACCAACAGTGCACTTAGAACACTGAGAGTGCACCAGCTGATTTTAATGTACAAGACACTTCACTTCAGAATCAGTCTTCAGAGGATACTAATACTGATACAGAGGAAATAAACTGATATTTCTTCAAAACAGAAAAAGGTAGGAATCTACAACAAAGTCTGTTAAATCCCTGCAATCGGCATAGTTAACCCAGAGAGATTGTTTTTTTCATCAATAAAAGTAGAGTTACACTTTAAGTTAGTTTATGTTATCATTGTGTCATGTTTCTATATTGCGGCTTAATAAAGTAGAACTAAAGGCAAAACTTTTTTTTTCATTTTGGATGAGGGTTATAACTAGAGATGAGCGAATCGAACATGACAAAGTGGAATTCGTTCCGAAGATTTGGAAAAATTCTATTCGCGACGAATCCGAAGATTAGCAAACTTCGGATGCACGAATCGAATTTTCCCAAAAATGGCGGCGACATGTGTGGCGACGGAGAAAATGGACAGAGAAGATGGGGCGGGGATCTCTGGGAAGGCGCGCAGACAAGGCGCGCTGACCCATAATGCATTCATGACATGTGATCGCATTAGCCAATCAGCAGCCACCCAGCACTGTGTAATGGTGGAGCTATAAATCGCGGCCATCTTAGAATTCTCCATTAGCCTCCGGTCATTCAAGAGAGACAGACCTGTGTGTATTAAGGGACAGAGTTAGGGCCACAGAGACTTTAGGGCCACAGAATCGTTACTCAGGGACACAGAATCGTTACTCAGGGACACAGAATCGTTACTCAGGGACACAGAAACGTTACTTAGGGCCACAGCTATCAAAGAATCGAAAATTTAAAGTGACATACACCCTTTTTTTTTTTTGGTGGCTGTCGTGCACAGTTGGTGCTGCAGTTTGCCGATTGTGCAAAATAAACTGACTTTCTGCTTCACAACCACTATTGTACGTTGAAAGAGTTAAATCCATTTACACGCCGGCTGGCGGTAATATTTTTTGGGTGATTAGTTTCCAGTGCATTTCCAGTGACACAAATAAACGTACAGTACGTTCCAGCCAACGGCAAGCTGCAGTTGACCGATTGTGTACAATAAACTGACTTTCTGCTTCACAACCACTATTGTACGTTCAAAGAGTTAGATCCATTTACACGCCGGGTGGCGGTAATATTTTTTGGGTGATTAGTGCATTCCAGTGACATAAACGTACAGTTTCCAGCCAACGGCAAGCTGCAATTGACCGATTGTGCTAAACCCCTGTACCGGCTCCTCATGAACGTGGTTCATCTGGTTTGCATCACTTAACGGCAAATCGTTGACAAATGCTGGGACGTTCAGTGTTGTGTGCGCATTAAGCATGTGAACAAAACCAGACACCAAAGGGTGTCACAAGTAGAGTCGCTGACTTCCCGGATCGCCACTCAGCCATTGAAAGAGGAACAACCCGTTTTCATATACGGCCCGTAGACGTTTCACGTCTGCCACATTCAGTCGATTTAAGACGCAAGCTCCACTTCCTGTGGTCTCTGACCGTCGATATACCTTTAAGTGTCAGCTTTGAAGCTATATTCCCTCCGTCTCTTGATAGTCGTCTCCCCACACTGGCCATCTTCAAAATTATTCCAGCATATCGCCGTGACGTTTCACGTCTGCCACATTCAGTCGATTAAGACGCAAGCTCACTTCCTGTGGTCTCTGACCGTCGCTATATACCTGCTGGGGGGACTTTTTAACCTAGGCCTGTGTATGGCCTTCAATTGAAGCTGCTTCCGCTCCGCCACTCTGCCATTGGACTCTTGATAGTCGTCTCCCCACGCTGCTGCCGGGGGGACTTTTTAACCTAGGCCTGTGTATGGCCTTCAATTGAAGCTGCTTCTGCTCCGCCACTCTGCCATTGGACTCTTGATAGTCGTCTCCCCACACTGCTGCTGGGGGGACTTTTTAACATAGGCCTCTGTATGGCCTTCAATTTAAGCTGCTTACGCTTCGCCACTCTGCCATGGGCCCCTGTACCGCCTCCTCTTGCTGCTGCCAGGTCCAGAGTGTGTCATGGGTCCCTGTACGGCCTCCCATTGCTGCTGACTTCATCGCCAGACTCTGCCATGTGCCACTTTCAGGTCTCCTTACACTGTTGGTGGGTTCCATTTTGTGATAGGGTGCTGTATGGCCTTCCATTGCTGCTGCCTCCACCGCCACCTGCGCCATGTGCCTCTGTCGTCTGCTCACGCTGCTGACGGCTTCCGCTTTTTAACCGAGGCCTGTGTTTGGCTTCCGAATACTGCTGCATCCACCGCCACCCTGCGCCATGTGTCTCTGTCATCTGCTCACGCTGCTGACGGCTTCCGCTTTTTAACCTAGGCCTGTGTATGGCTTCAGAATAATGCTGCCTACACCGCCACCCTGCGCCATGTGCCTCTGTCGTCTGCTCACGCTGCTGCCAGGTCCATACTGATTCATGGCCCCCTGTACCGGCTCCTCATGAACGTGGTTCAGCGGGTTTGCATCACTTAACGGCAAATCGTTGACAAACGCTGGGACGTTCAGTGTTGTGCGCATTAAGCCAGACACCAAAGGGCAGCACAGACCTGTTATTACTCGCTCAAGCATGGCTGAACAAAACCAGTCTCTACCACAAATTGGACCCAGACCTGCCCAGGGTCTCGTAAGTAGATTGCACGGAGGAGTAGAGTTCGTTATTGGAATTAACTGTGAGGGACTTTTAAACCTAGGCCTGTGTATGGCCTTCAATTGAAGCTGCTTCTGCTCCGCCACTCTGCCATTGGACTCTTGATAGTCGTCTCCCCACGCTGCTGCTGGGGGGACTTTTTAACATAGGCCTCTGTATGGCCTTCAATTTTAGCTGCTTACGCTCCGCCACTCTGCCATGGGCCCCTGTACCGCCTCCTCATGCTGCTGCCAGGCCCGTAATCTGCCATGGGCCCCCGTACCGACTCCTCATGCTGCTGCCAGGCCCGTAATCTGTCATGGGCCCCTGTACCGCCTCCTCATGCTGCTGCCAGGGCCTCTTCATGGGTCCCTGTACGGCCTCCCATTGCTGCTGTCTCCATCGCCACACTCTGCCATGTGCCACTTTCAGGTCTCCTCACACTGCTGGTGGGTTCCATTTTGTCATAGGGTGCTGTATGGCCTCCCATTGCTGCTGCCTCCACCGCCACACTGTG